TGCTGACAAATAAGTCTCTTCACGTCAAGCTGCAGAAAAAGGTACCTACCAATTATTAAAGTATTGAAGTTTGTACCCCCATTTAAAATATAAAGATACTCCTTCCTCTAGACTCGCATGTTTTTCTCAACCACTGTTTACCTGACAAAACTCCCTTTAAAAGAGCCCCGCACATTCTTCACAAAATGTGCTACCATTCCTTTGGGTTTCGAATTGTCAGAGACACTGGAATTCATGTATTCCCTGTATGGCCACACCCGCACCCGCGCCGTCCATCAGCAAGCGTATTCAATGCGCCGCGAGCGTTGCGACGCTGTGTGTCGTTCCTCTACAATGTACAGCATTGAAGGTAGCACGAAAAATAATGAAATGGATGGCTGTCCATATACTGTACTTGTCGAATATTCACGAAACTCATCAACTTTAAGAACTTTCTAGTCCTTCTACATGAAACAAGTAACACGACGCCGACGTCTTTCATACATTTTTTACTCGTTTTAGATTAAAATATTGTTTAAGGTTACGAGTGATATTCATGAAGATGTGAAAAGTTAAGAAACCTTTCAGTTATAAAATCCAAAAGTACTGATAGCGCCACTGTCAAAATAGTCACATCATGTTAAGTTATTTATATGTATGTACGTCTATAGTACGAGGGATGTTTCTAAAGTTGTGGGAATTGTGCTATAATTAAATTACGCAGAACTTATAGCCAAGTTATTGGTGCCAGAAAAGTCTTTCTCGTCCGTGTTAGACTCATTAAAGGGAGCCAGGGTAGCTTAATCGACGTGAATATTATGGATCAGGGGAAGGTGACGATCCCATGAACCTGAGATGGGTTACCACTCCTGGAATACAAACAATCCGACTGGGAGAGGTTTTTGTCCCTTGGACATGCAACCAGTGATGAAGACTGATTCTACGGGAGGCCCAGAAGTCTCAGGCAGAAGAGTAGACGCCTCGACAGGTGAGCGATGTAAAGTGTCCAGGGTGTCAAGCCTGCTAAACATAGTATGGATAAAAGGGCTCTAATTTTATTGGCCTACACGTATGAAATTAAATTTAAAGGTATATTCTCTTTTTTTATTGAACCTGAACAATTAAAATTTCAAACACCCCAACAGGGACCAAGAGTTATTCACGCCGTTGTAGGTTTTAAATATCATTTAACCCAATACTCTTCGAATATAGCTGTGGCTCCTAAAACACCTATTTGCACATAGTAACCGATTCTAGGTGTACCTCTACTCCTCTTAACTTACGATTCTGCTGTTAATATACCTCCAACTAACCTTTCATGCCTGAGAAGGTGTCCTCCCAACCTTTTTCGCCTAATTCTTATGGATTTCCATAACGCCCTTTGTTCCCCTACTTTCTTTCTAATACCTTTTCATTTTTCAACTTTTCTATTCACAGCATCTTTAACACCCTTCTATAGCACCAGATCTCAAAGGCTTCTAATCTTTTCTTTGTCGAAAGGCTACCCGACCACGTTTCACACCCATACAGAGCCGTGCTTTAAACATACACCTTTCATAACTATTTTTTAATTTTCAAATTAACCGAAAAGTTATTTCTTTTTGTTAAAAGCAACCCTACCCTAGCACTTTTTCCATCCTGTATTTTTGGTTGCGTAAATATCGAAAAGCAACGATTTTGTGTACTTTATGGTCTCCTATTTTGATATTACTAATAGTTTTACATACCTTACATACCAATACTTTTGTTTGACTTTTAATATCTTAGACCGTAAGTTTATTTTCTCTCTTGGAGCGTATGCTATTTTTTATCATATCGGCTATGAAGTGAAATTTTCTAGGGTAAATAATTTACATACATTAGCAGACAGAAAAATCGCAAAAATTCTCGATTTGATCAAAGTACGTAAGAGATATTTGTACATCATTAAGCAAAGAGTCTTAAAACATGGATTCTGTGAAGTTTAATGCTTGTAATTTTAAATTTTACATTATAAGTATCGGCTGAAGTTAATAATATTCCTTAGAAAACAACACTGAACATCTCAATACGTTCTACAAGAAATAATCATATCATAAAATAAATTACATGAAAACCTCAATCTAGTTTTAGTCCAGAAGTTCCCCAAGAGAAATGAAATAACTAGCTTCTCTACCCGAAAAACTTTGTAACTCGGTTCCAATTTTACTTTCTTCTTACGGTTTCCGAAATCCCAATGGTGAACGTTCAATTTAAACAACTCTGTGTTACATGCTCGCATACGAGTGAAATTGGAAAAGCATTCCATAATAAACCAACAATAAAGAATGTAGCCTCTTTGTAATACGTAAAATTGTTACACAAAGGTCCTATCAATTTGAACGTGTGCGTACTTATTATACAATACATTTGCATTTACTATAATAAATTACTATTTAACTTCAATTAGTTGGTCTCACATATCTGCATGTAAGCAATGCAATTTTCTAATTTGTCCAGTTCCAGACACGTGTTCATTATTGTAACAAACGACTGAATTAAATAATTTTTCCTGATAGCCCTGACTACAGTAAAAGGAGTATTATTCTCGGGTCAATGCGATTAAGTTCCATTACGAACAATAAAATCTCTTTAACAGACAAAAAACATTCGTGCCAAAAGAACATCATAAATTTATTGAGTATGACGTGATGTCATTATACTACGGACAATTATTTTATGAAAATGGTGTCTTTATCAACGTTGAGTTAACTGGGCATCATTCAATTGGCCAGGTCATTCTTACGAATTCGTTTAATACATGTAGCACGACAACTTTAATCAATAAAACATCAGATTTTTACCAGTGTACTTGAATTATCATTTTCAATTAAAAAATGGTTTATAGGCGTAATAATTTTGACGTTTCTATAGTAAATTATCTCTGAGTACACATAATGATCATCATAAGGTCGTCAGTCCTAAGACTGGTCAGACACGTACCTCCACTCTTTCCTATCCTGAGCTAATCTTCGCATATCCCTAAAACATCCCACACCCTAAACTCTTTGTGATAGTAATCATGCCTGAGGTGTCCTACCACCCTATATCGCCTATTCTTTCTAATACCTCTTCATTTCTAACCTTCCCTATCCACGGTATCCTCATGGACACGGAAAAAACTAAATTTTTATGACAACTCAAGAATTATAATTTTCGATTATAAATGACTAAATTTGTCGTAAAAATAGTAGAATTTATTAGGTAACTTGTAATAATCTCTCTTCCGCCGCACCCACCCTCCATGTTTCGCATCCGTACAGCGCCGCGCTCCAAATATACACCTCTTGAGTACACATATTAAGCAGTAATTAAATACATATAAAGTGAAGATAAAAAGATAATATGCAAGTGTTTAAGCACAAATAGTAGTAAAACGGCAGGCAAAAAGAGTCGACACGTAGTGGCGCAGGACAAACTGTATCGAAGAACGAGAAAAATACTTTTTACAAATGACTCATTTCGTGGTTTTTATCAATTAAATAACCAAATCATGCGCTCTCTTCCAAATATTATATGAAAAGAAATTTGTCCACCGATAACATAAATATAGAAATAACAGCCCTTCAACATTATCGAAATCCAAAGCAATTTCATATGAAATAGAAATCTGACCTGCGAAATACGTCATATACCTACGCTATAGCCTCGGAATTTCGATATAATTTGACCAAAAATAAATAAATGCCTATTGAATATCTTACAAGTTCAATTATGTCTTCAAAGAATCTTACTGACAAAACTAAACACGCTCTAATAAATTACGATTCTTTTCTTTTCTTTTCAAACAGAATTATGTTTTCATCGAAATATGTATTATGAAATCAAGTTCGTGCTGTTTACATTATTCCTTCCTAATGCCAATCATAACTACAAACAGGCTGACTGTATTAACTCAATAATTAGTTATTAATTATTGAGTTTTAAGGCATTTACAGTCAGCTAACACGTTTCATATTCTCATGGTCAATTGATTGTACGGGATTGCTTCAAGTAAGAAAACAGCACTAACTTGAATTTCTGATATCTTGGTAAAAAGAATTGTACATAAGTCAATAGCTTCTCAGTGAAAAATTTTATGCAACGATTAAACTGTCAATGAGGAAATAAAAGATGTACCTATTGAAATGAAACAAAACTTACTGAAATTTATACAGAAGGAAAGAACTGCGTTTTTGGCGTACTTATTCCGAAACTATTAGTACGAATTCCGACTACTGATCGAATCTACAGGTTCCAACTAGTAGGAACTCTCAACCTGAAAGTTGGACCAAGCTTAACCTAAGATTTTTCAATTCTGGCCCAAGATTGGCAAACAATATTGGATCAAGCATGGCAAATGGCTGGTTTGGCAAACCTAGTTAGTAACCTTAGTCCACGACTGGACAGCCAATGCTAAACTAAGATTTGGTTAACAATACTTACCTAATATTTGGCAGTCTATTCAAAATAGGATATATAAAATAATAGTACTTTACAACAGAATGAATACTTTTTGTGAGTATAATTCTCTAAAAAGAAATCGAACTTTCGAAAATAACTGTTATAGTAGGTACCGAAATTTATTCATTTTATTTGTTCTATTTCTGGGTTTAATGTTTTAAAAATTTGAGTAACTAGTCATACCTGTTCAGAAAAAAAACTTTTGGGTGTTTCATTCCCACCAGCCAATATTGCTGGTGGGCGGGCAGTCCCTCTGGACTACGCTTTCAGGAATCATGGGAATGGGTGGGTGGTGGTTCGGGTGAGAAAGATGAGACGGACGAAATGAAGACAGAAGAGAATGAAAGATTGTCTGTGGAATATTACTGCCTCAGCATTTGCCTAGGTGATCCAAGGAAACGACAGAAAAACTTGGACCAAGGCAGACAGACCCGGAATCGAACCGGCGTCTTCCCGAATACTAAGCAATGGTCTAAACCTCTAGGCCATGCCGCTCGGTCATCCTGTTCAGAATTGTCCAATAGTTTATATATAAATAATTTCCGACAGTAGGTACTCACCAAAAAAAGTGTATAATATTCCAAAAGCAATGTAAACGGAGCAAACGGCAGCAGTTGTGAGGTCATAGTGGGTATCGACACGAGCACAAGTTTCGATTTTTGGTCCATCGGGAATTCCCAACCCTGGGTGGAAACCAAGAGTGGAGTTAGTCCGAGGTGGAACCAGTGAGCCAGGTTGAGCACCACTTGTCATTCTGAAAAAAACAAACTTTTTTTAATTGTACATTATTTTGCTTTCCTATATACCGTAATTTTAAGTAAAATATAAAATCCAACAGTTGTACTGTCTAATGATGTTTTACATAAGTGAAAGGGATAAAGGCTGCAATCAACTCAGTGATAATGCAGTGGATTAAAAAAAGTTCACGGAAAAAAGGAGGATTCCGAAATCATCAAGTTTCGGGAGAATTATGTTTTATTATGGTTCCTTCTTAGAACGTGTTAGGAACAAGTATCGAAGAAGTCCAAGGCTACTCTATTTTCGGGAATCCTCAAGTATCAACGGCACCGACGTTGGGTTATCCGTGTAAACCTTACACCGAAGTTTATGAGTACCAGGAGTACCTACTATTGAGACCGGCGATAATCATCCCAGAGTAGAAGCTGATCCAATTTTCGCAAGAGAGATTTAGGTAGTTGGTGCTCTATTCCGAAAATTTACTTCGCCATGGTATGGGAAGATGAAGATGATGTTGCAGTAGGGTGGAAGTCATTCCACTAACAATATGTAGTATGGTTGGTCATAATAGAGGAGGTTAAAATGGTATTGTTATTTCGTTTTGCAAGAAGTAAATGTGCAATTGCAGTTTTGATCATATATCGGCAAATCAAGATGAATGTGATAGTTCTGCTGACGGATGCTCAATAAAAGGCAACAAAAAATTATGGAAACAGAAGGTGGAAACATCTGGTTAGATGGCTTACCGTCTTCACTAACCCTATATTGTATCTACTTTCAATATTACATTAAAGTAAATACGTTCCATTTCTAAATATATAAAATTCGCTTCTTTCTGACATGGTGGAGTAGTTATATGTCAAAATAAACGGATAAATTCGCTTCTTCCGGACAGTACATTCTAAGGAGCCATCCTTAAATTACGTCACACGTTAAGAGGGAGAAGGTCAACGAAATGTGACATTATGTGACAAGATGCAGAGGGGTCAAAGGCTTTGTGGCGTCACATATCGAAATTTAGAATATTAAAACACTAAATTTTTATGTAGAGAAAAATCTTAAAAATATTACTAATTCGATCTATATTTATAAGGTTTATGTCAGTTTAAGTAATCGACGAGTGTTTTGTTTTGTCTATTATCTAAAATATTTAAGTTGCTTTTATTGAAGATTATTATTTTCAATAAAAAAAAGAAATTTAAAACTGCTGTTTTAATTTAATATTTTCTCAATATAAAATTGAAAAATATGTGACGTCACACTAGCAGCGAGGAGTGAGGGTTAAATCAGGATAAAATTTGTGTGACGTAATTTAAGGATGGTCAGATGGACACGAGATTTCAACGTCATCGGGACCATGGGGAAATTTTACGGTAGCATTTTCATATATTAGGGGGAAGTTTCTTTTCTAAGCAGGAAGATAGCTAGCTAAAAACAGGGGGTATTTATAGGGGGTGAAGCCTAAACTACGACGAAAGGAAATGGGGAAAGTCCTCATCAACCTGTTTCCTTTAGGAATCTTGGAAATGGGTAGGGGGTGGTCAAGGCGAGACGGATTAGGTGAATGAAATGAAGGCCAAAAAGAAGTGAAGGTTTATGTGTGGAATATAAGGTATTACTGTTCCAGCATTTGCCTAAGTGATTCAAGAAAACCAGAGAAAAAACTAACCCGGAATCAAACCAGTGTTTTCCTTAATGATAAGCAATGGCCTAAGCTTCCGCTCAGTAATAATGAAATGTAAACTTTGATATATATTTGACTGAATTCCTAACGGGCAGATACATGAGTACGAACAAAACGGGAGAGTGAAGTAGACAAAAATTCTCATTATCGACTAGAAGTGGCCCTTTAGACGTTAAAGAGAGCCCCTCTTCAAATTTTACACTGGACCTTGCTTCACTAAGTTGAATGATTTTAAATTTCACGTCTGCTTTTATTGAAATTTAAAAATTTAAATGTTATGTAGCGCATAAAGTAACAGAGTTTTGCATAGAAAAAAAACAAAGGGTTTGTTACGAATCACTATATAGTATAAAACAAAGTCGCTTCCCGCTGTCTATCCCTATGTATGCTTAGATCTTTAAATCTACGTAACGGATTTTGATGTGGTTTTTTTTAGTGGATACAGTGATTCAAGAGGAAGGTTTATATCTATAATACATGCATAATATAGTAGAGAAACACTGATAATTTTAGAGGTTTCCAATGTGATGTCGTAAAACACATTTTTTTGCGCTAAGATTGCAAACGCTGGCTGAACCCTACGAGATAGATCAAAATAATGTACTAAAGTATTATACATCTTAAAAAGATCTACAAAAAAGTCCGGGATGGTATATGTATATCTCTTAGGGATAACCCACAATAACCATTTTTTATCCTTTACTTTTTATGAGAAATAATGGCTTATTTACGATGCGATTTTAAGCAACACGGCATTAATTCTTATCCAATTAAGTACCTTAAATACATTGTGCATTTAATATAGATCAATATGATCCTTTACAGCATCTAATTTAAATCAATATTTTTGAAGATATTACAGGTTCAAAATGCACGGACATAGCGGTTGCGGCGGTACCGGCCGGGAGGCCGGTTTGTATTGTCTAATGACAAAAAAGCTGTGAATGTTGTATATAAAGACATTCTGTAGTATATTTAATGTGTTCAGGGGTTGTCTATTTAAGATTTCCCCTCCTCGATAATAATCTAAACAAAACAAAAATATATTTAGTATCAGCATTACACCCGTGCGAAGCTGGGGCGGGTCGCTAGTAAAGTTATAAACAATAAATAAATTGCAGATATTTTTGGCTTTACCAATAAACATTTTTATTTAAATCGACGGAAGCTACTGCACTCTGGTTCTTCTTTATTTCTAATATTATATACCTATTTATACACTGAACAGAGAATTATGCCCATCTTTTGTACATTTAATGATTCCATGCCATAACAACAGCAATAACAACATGCTACGTATGAACAGATGTTCAAAAACAAACGTCTACTTTACCGAATTGTTGGTACATAATATGTGAAAAGGACAAAGGGGTAAGGTAACTACTCACGCGCTTATGCCACCGCCGGTACCTTTATTATTATAAGCTCTACACCTGCCCTTTCATTTAAAAAATTACAAAACCACACGCTTAGCAACAGCACATGTGCATGTTACAAATGAGTAACTCCACCAAGAGAAAGGGTTGAATTGTTGATAGCGATTCTAGGGAAATGAGCCACATGAACGACAAAAGCAGGTCACATGCAAGCAAGTTCAAGTTATATTCAAATTAATTGGAAACTTTATGAAGACATTAAAACAGTGGTTATACTAGTGAAACTATAATGTTTTCGACGTAAAATGGCTGCTTTTACATTTTTAATAGTTTAGACGACTTCCTGATAAAGCTCAACTTCCAAATTAACAGTTTTCAAAATGACGGATACCGAAAAATAGTTATTAGTTTTTAATGTCTACGTTCTGACGGGCTTTCCATTAAAAACCTCCATCACCAACGTTCCCAACCATATTAAGTCCTTTTAACGAGAGGATTAGTTGAAACCCTTGAGACGAGCCTATAATGTTTATAAACATTAAAATTCTTGAAGGTGTCAAAATCATAGTAATAAGTTATCGTTAATCAAAAACTGATGTATTCTTCTTCACAAGAAAAGGTAAACACAACAACTATATCAAAATAACAAATGATTTAGTGTAGTAATCAATAATCAACAATACAAGGTAGGACAAACGACAAATCGCAATATAGTTTTAATTACCAATTTCCATTAGGTAAGTAGGTATTTTGTTATACTTATTAAATTATTATTGTTAGTGGGTTTTCCCTTTTTTCTCTGTTGGAATTATCCGGTACTCAGCCGGATCCTAAAAAAAGTGCTAGATCCGGATATAAATCGGGTGCTAAGCCAATATATTCGCAGCTATTGTTGAAGAGAATGATCGAAACTAACAATGTTTACGTAAAAGAAGTATGTTCTTTTTTTTTTTTAAAGTACTAGACAAATTTATGATATTGTTTCTCCTCACAGTTTTATTGATCAATATTGCCTTTATCACGCATAACCACCTACAAAAGTACCCTAAAAGATTCGGGAGAACATAGATAAATGTCGGTCCACTAAAAGTTAATTTTTATTAGGGTTTATAAAAGACCAGAGCAAAATAAGTTACTAACGAATAAAAAGTATGATTTTAAAAATTCAGTGTAGCAAGTTTAAATTACTATAGTGAATTTAAGTAAAATAATTCTTATAACAAACTCTTTCAGTTTAATCACAATGTCATATCCGAAATACTGTTAAAAGGTGGCACAAAAAAAATTAAAAATTTAATTAAAAAAGTTAAATATTATGTTATAGGTACAAAGTGTCTTAGCAGTAAAAAACGAAAGTGGTGTAGTCGCTACTTTTAGTTTTTTACAATATTCTTCAAAAAGCCCATGAAAAATTGGACGAAGCGTCAAATATTGCATAAATAAAGACTAAATTTATCACCTGATATAAGTTCAGACTTTTTTACAGTAAAAATAAAAGTTTATTAAAATGTTATTTTATCATTAAATTTCACATGTTTCTTTCACACGCTCACGCAAAGTTTTATTCTTCTAATTTTGTTGAAAAATGATGTTCTACCTCGTGAGAAATGTTATTATAACATTTTCCGTTCCATACATTATAAATGTTCGAACAGAGAAAACAGCAGTTTAAATATTTTCTCAAACTTCAAGAAAATGAACTGGTAATTCTCTAAAAACTTTTCAGCTCAAAAACGTGTTCAACTTTACTGAAAGACGTCGGCTATTTAACTTTCAAAACTTAAAATAATTTGATAATTTCAACATACAATTAATATTATTGTATCGTCTGTATTAACAACTAATTAATCGTGCTGAAATATCATTTAACTACAATTTTATTCGAAACATAGTTTTAGTTTAAATAATTTGCTTTTGTCTAATATCAAGAGGAATAAATAAAATTTTAATAGTTAT